TTTAGGGTTTAGGGTGTAGGATTCACTGAGTGAAGGAGTTGAAGTGCTTCGAATCTAAGGGTCTCATTTTGGGTTCTTCGGGGATTTGGTTGCAAGGTTTCAGTTTTTGGAACCTTCCAAAAGCGCGCTCTGAGTCGATGGGGATTCTCAGCTGTAAGTTCTGGTTATTCTGGAGACGGAAGAGGGTCCCTGGGCTCTAGGGCTGCAGGGCTTCGGGATCCGATCGCTACGCTTCAGGCAAAGAGGGCTGAAGGGTTGAAGGACGTTGAGGCTCAGGCTGCCGGGGGACATTGCTTCCCGATGCCTTGGAGATGCCCGGCATACACCACTCTTTTCGGGGCGCTTGGCAACATGCAATGGTTTAAGTTTCGGATCCTACTAGCTAGGATCCTCATCGCAAAGTGAAAGATTTCCTCATTGGAACAAGGAGCCTCGAGTCTCTCGCGTAAAACACCTTGGTCCAACTTGCAGCTTCACAAAAGCAACCTGCAACAGGGCGCCTGCTGTGTTTCAACCCACAAGCTCATGAGCACGATGGTACCTTTCAAAGACGGTTTCAATCCTGTGCTGACTACGTTGCAGTCTTCCCTAAACCCTCTTTGGGTGGTGGCCAAAGGTGCGGTTGGCGAAGCTGAAAGCCAAAGAGGCTGTTGGGGCCCCAGCGCAGAGGGGGCAGACAGCCGCACGAGATAGAGAATCTCCGACTGAAGCTTCAGCCCGGTTCCGGAAGAGCATCTCCAAGAAATTAGATTGAGCTTGTTGGCAGTGGAAGGTTCAGCTCGTTCGCCTGCAGATCAAGGACTGGCAGCGCACTCCTGTAACTGATCGAAGAATGTAGGTCCACCAGGGGCACCTGTCATGAGCGGCTTCTTTTTCAGCGGAGGCCGCAAGATCACGCCATAGCTCCACTTGTGAAGGAGATTCCGAACCGACCCAAAGGTGACATTCGGAAACTTGGGCAGTAATTGCGGTATCTCGGGGAAAGCTGGGCACTGAATAAATGCGGTCAGTTGTTGTTTGATTGTGCTGACAGACTCGCGTATTCTTCTGATCATTACTTACTACACCACCCTTTCGCGGCTGAATGTGCTGCAAAGGGGTTAAGTATGCTTCCTCATTCTTTCTTCGAACTGAACCTTTAGCTTGGGAGGCGGACATCCGTTCTCTGATGAGCCGTGCTTCAGTTGATCGCGTGTCCTTGTTGCTTGTTGCGCACAATCTGTAATCACACGGCTCCCGATCAACACTAAACTAAACCATGCCCCACAATGCCAGAAAGCGCGAGGTTTTGTCTCTTTGACGTTGAGCGACACATCGTCAGACCTGAACGTCCAATCCTGGGGTTGACCCCATACTTGGGGTGTCGTGGGAGTAATCGGGTGGTTAGAAGTTACACGTTTTCAGGTTTTTATTTTTCCAATCTTATGCCCGTCTGAGCAGTAGTAGAGACATGCCTGTTTGAATAAGCTGCAAGTGCTGAGGACGGATGCAGCTGAGTCGCTTTTCAAGCTGCTGTCTCCAGAGGAGAGGAAATGCGAGGGACCCGGCGAAGTGATTGCAGTCGCTTCGTAGATGCTTGAGAAGGGTTATCCGAGAGTCCAGGTCGGGGCTTTGGATAATCCATGGCTTCGAAGCCACCCTAAACCCTAAACCCTAAACCCTATCCATGGCTTCGAAGCTCCCCAAAGCGCACTGCAAAGTTGCCACAGGCATCCCCAAAGCCTCGGAGTTCCACTTCTGCGTGGTCTCAGCTCGCCGCGCGTCGACGGCACCGGCGCTCAGAGCAGGGCTCTGATCGCCTTCGGCCCCCTCTTCGCCTTTGCGAGAAGTTTAGGTCGAAGGTGTCCAGGACATCTTCAAGGTCCAGTGCCAGTTTGATGAGGCAGGAGTGATGCTCAGATGCAGGAAGTGGCGTGATCAGAAGTCCGAGCATGTCGGAATCCCAGTTCTCGCAGCTAAGGGTGCCGACTTGGTACGTGGATTCCGACAGCGTCAAGGACCCCGTGCTTTCGAGATCCCTAGACCCAAAACCTCAAACTTCAAGCCCCAATTTTAATCCCATAAGCTCTGAACTACCATCATGCCTGAGCACCCAACTTGCAGGGCTCCGCTTGCAGCACCCATGGGACCGACTCCATACGCCCATGCCGCGCCACGCCGACAAGTGGCCTCCGTAGTACTTTCTTCAGAACGGCCCGAACCCATGAAGCCTGATCGAACACCCACGCCCTAAACCCTAAGTTATGAAGCCATGTTATAGGAACCGTTGCAGACATCTTTTCAGAAGCTTGTCTTGAAAGGAGTACCGCAAACTTGGCCTGCAGGCAGTCGAAGGTGCAGCTGGGTGGGATGACAGCGGAGTTTCAGCCATTCCAAGTCCTTCCTATCACCAGTTGTAAATATTGCAGTTGCATGCCCTTTTCACTGCGCTGTCGATGATATGACTTTTGCCGTTGTTCTGGTTGCTACTTACCAGTATGATGACTACTGTTCTATCATGATCACTATTGCTCTTGCAGTTGTGTTTACATGTCAGACCGTTGCAGGTAAAAGCAAGCAAGGGTGCAGTATGCAAGAATGCCTGTGAGTTGCAGGATAGGATCTGATCAGGAAAGGGCAGTGCAGCACCGTGCCCAAGCTCTTCGATGGTTGTCAATTTGTCTATGATTTAGGCTCTAGGTTCAGGGCAGTTCAGGCGCTGCCCTGATCAAGCCTCAAGCGGAAACCCGTAAGCCTGAACGCCTTCAAACCCGAAACCCCACAGCTATTTAACCCTACAGTCCGACGCCCTAAATCCTACACCCTAAACCCCTTGAATCCTAAAATCCTCAAACCCTAAAGCCCTAAACCCCTAAACCCTAAACCCCTTGAATCCTGAAGTCCTAAAACCCTAAACCCCTAAACCCTAAAGCCCTAAAATCCTTAACCCTAAAACCCTAAGCCCCTAAACCCGTGTTAGCAGGCGGGCGCCTCTGCCCTTCGCGCAACAAGGCTCTGAAGGAGCACTGGGTGAAGCAGAGCACATGCGGGGGCTCGTCTCCTGCAGTGGGGTAGCACTCTCTTAGAGACTTAAAGGGGCGATCAGAGCACATTTGGGGCTCTTCTCTTGTAATTAGTTAGTGAGATCTTGGTGTTGTATTCTCTTAGGGACCCAATCTGGAATGCAGTTTAGAAGGCCAGCCAAAACCAAAGGCTATCATTATAAGTGCAGGTATGCAAAGACCATCTGTGATGGCTTCTTCCTTGGTGGAGAGACACTGCACGGAACTCTTTGTCGCCGTGTTATCCGGGCTTAGAGCATTGTGTTTGGGGGCATCTAGGTACTGCTCTCGGTTGCTGATCAGGATGCAAATCTACTGGGAAAGATTTGCGTCCAGGCGCATCAGATGCAGTGCAAAACACGGCTCTCCATCCATGCTTCCAAGTTGTGTCACAAGCTGATCTGCTCTCTTTCTGCAGAATCTGCATCATCTTAAGCTTAGCCGAACTCTCTCTGGGGCTGGACTGGTCGGGCTGGAGGCTTCTGACGACATTTCCGCGTGGGAGCGCCCTGGCTTTGGCAATCTACAGTCGTCATTTCTGAAGATCGGGTGGGGGGCAGCACTGCTTGGCAGAAGAGGTATGTCTCCAAATTCCAGGTATCGACATGGCAAGCGAGCTGCCAGCAGAGATGATGCCACTTTGAAGCAACGTTCACGATCATGCGGTAAGCCGTGCTGAATCCTGAGCTGGCAGCTGTGAGGCACTGTGCAACGCAGCCTGGGCGAAAGCGAAGCGCCACCAGAAGCATTGATGGAGCAGTTTAGATTTTCCACGTGCAGTGCACACCATTCTCCCGAATCTTCGCTCTGGTGTTCGAGCAGTCAGTCTGGTTTGACAAGAACACTTACCGCTTTGGCAGGCGGTACGTGCTCTCGCCACTCACCGCCGCCCAGTTCATCGTGGCAAAGATGAGAGGCCATGCCTTGTCATGCATCCCCGGAACCAGATGAGATCGACATTTGCCTTCATTCTTGCATGACGTGCGTTCATACTCTCAGAAGGCTTAGTCGCAGCAGTTTCGTGTAGGAACAGAGTAAAGTAGTCGCCCAAATTGAAAGAATGACACGTGTACTGAGAAATGCTAGCAGCCGCTTTTTCCCTGACATGACTCGGTATGGATGCAACAATGTGCCATTATGGGTTCTGGCTGACCAAGAGAGCATTGTTTTCACAGAGGCTTGGAGGACCATTGCCTGTTCTACGCTGTATAGCAGCTCCTCACATCGCACGACCGACATCGTAGACTCGTAGCTGCTCCTGCAGTCGAAGGCGGCTTTGTCAAGAACCTGCTCTTCTAAAGTTGATCCCGCCCTTCCCAACTTAAATCCCGAAGCCGTAAACTCCAGACCTCAAGCCCCAAATCTTAAGCCTTGAACTCCCGACCCTCCACGTCTCAACTTCTAACCCCCCACGAGCCCCAAACCCTAAACCTCTAATGCAAAGCCCAGGAATCCCTCACAGAATCGCCCTCAACCCCTAAACCCCTAAACCCTAAAGCCCTAAGCCCCTAAACCATTAACCCCCCTAAACCCCTAAACCCTAAATCCCTTAAAGCCCTAAATCCTCTGCCCTGCAGGAGCTCCCCAGCCGAAGCCGAAGCTCGGAGGGGCCTCGCGGCAGCATGATCCATAGAAGCACCTGGAACCGGTATACAGTTTAAGGGTTTAGGGTTTAGGGTTTAAGGGTTTAGGGTTTAAGGGTTTGGGGTTTAGGGGTTTAGGGTTTAGGGTTTAAGGGTTTAAGGGTTTAGGGTTAAGGGTTATGCACACAAGGAAATTCGATACGAATATATGGACCATTGGATCAATGTGTGTTTATGTATATATGTACAAATATACATAGTTATAAATGCAAATAGTACGAAAAAGAAACATACAATAAGCGTATGAAGATAAGCAAGGTATCCATATATATATATATAATATACACATACATATACATATACACACACACACATATATATATATATACACACACATGCACAGACATACATACATACATACATACATACAAATGTGTATATATATATAGAATGTATATCAAGAGCTGTAAGAAATGTGCCATGTGGAGGTAGATCTAGAGAAGATCTGCTACGCAGTCTGCAAAATATACTTAACTGCAACAAGCACTACTGCACAGTACTGTTCCGGCCTAGAATCAGACGACCATGTCGCATGTTCCGAACGAGACCTGGCTTCAAACTGAACTCTGCTTGGATCTGGAGCTGTTACAGTGTTTCCAAGCGCTACTTGGAGGATCGACAGGACTTGGTAGGTGGGGCAATAAGAGGGTCGCCATACAGCTCACTTTCCATATGCCCTACTCTGTAGCAACTCGCTGCTCTCGCCAAGGTCTACATGCTAGGCCGGGGGGGCCGAGCGAAGGGATGTTGAGTACGTCCGTCTTGTATATGATAGAATATGTAATATCACATATACATACTATGCGTAATATCATGTAGTACAATACTACCTGTAGCAACATGACGATGCATTTTTATTATAGCACATATATGTATATGTATATGTACATGTACATGTACATGTATATGTATGCATGCATGCATGCATGCATGCATGCATGTATGTATGTATGTATGTATGTATGTATAGATGGAGATGGAGATGGAGATGTATATGCACATGTATATGTATATGTATGTATATATGTATATGTATATATAGCAGCAACATCCAACAATAACAACCATGATAGTAATAACATTTATTAAGGGATGATGGTGATGATGATGACGACGACGATGATGACGATGATGATGGTCGTGATGATCAACTCACGGAGCCCCAAGTGCCCACTGAGCCTAAGGCCAGGCTCTGAAGGCGCAAGTACGTACCGAATTGACGTCTGCACAACGCCATCAGACCCCAAAGGACTCTTGACCTAAACTCCATGAAGCCCACACACCCCGAGAGTCCGACAGATCCGAAGATCAGCTCCCCAGTTCTTGGGCTGGTCTGGCAGGCAGCTGTTCTCGCACCATGGCCGGCGAGGAGTTCGGAACGAAGCACTTCATCCTCGGCGATGTGGCAGCAAAGCTGATGGGCCCTAGGCGTTTTAGGTTTCGCTTGATTCCCAAAAGCCCAAGCGTCCGCATGGCATCGTGTGGACTGGGTCGGAGTCGTGTGGACGGGGTACTGGGGACGCTGGGAGGCTCGGGGCGCCGAGCGTTCGCGGGACGCTGCCGTGGATGGGCCGCTCTTGTCCCTAATGCCTAAAGAACGGCTTGGGTTTTTAGGTGCCCCCTTCTGGACAGTGTTTTCAAACTGGTTGATCGAGGGTTTGAATCGAGGGTTTGAGATTCGCGGTGTGGGGTTTCGGCTCGTGCTGCACAGTCGGAAGCTTTGCCAGACTCGAAAGTCGAAACCTTCTACAGATTGGGATTCTGCTTTGAATCGAGCGATGCCTGTGAAGAAGTGAGCAGACACAATTTGGCCGGAGCTCGATTGGTGCTTCTGCGTGTACCGGCTGCCACCTCTTGGTGCTTCGTTTACCCAGGTCCTGACTGGAAAGAAAAGTCTTGCGCATTCGAGAATACATACCTCCGCCGCGGCCAAGTCAAGAGCAAAGGATGGCTTCTTGGTCGAACGTGGCGATTCTGCGCACGAAATGTTCCCGGAATTGGAAGAAATCTCCGAAGCTGAGAGCAGCAAACGCTGCGGAATTTCTCCGCGGACATACTCACAGACTTTGTTGCCTTGATTCCCCCTGGTGGTACGACCGCTAGACATCTTCAAAAGTTCCTGGTGCTCTTGAAGCTCTTTTGCTCGGATGCTCTCGGCGACATTGTTCTGGAGCTTGTGGCATCTCAAGTGCGTGGGACGTCTTGCTTGGATGGCTACGGTACTTGGAGGCTCATGGGTAGTTCTAAGTGGGGTTATAAGTAGGAAAACGCGCGATATAACTTAACCTACATTAGGGGACTTATGATTCCACTCATAACTACCCATGAACCACCAAGTATTACGGTGATTTGGACATTCAGGTCTCGAAGCGACCGGGGGCGAGCTCATGAGCCCTTCACAGAGACTGCCAGGTTTCGCGTCGCACAGAAGATTCATAAGCTGCCCTTCATCACAAGCTTGACCATCGAGGTTATTGTTATCAACTTTTCCTTCGCTTTAATGATCAACGTCGATCTTGTTCTTGGGAGGGAGCGGCCAGTAGAGTTTTTCTGCACTTCAACAATTCAAAAAAATCGATGCTTGCTTGGATGAACTCCCAGCTGCGAAAAATGCTATCATTGCGATAAAAGAGGTATTGTAAATGTGACCGTCTCAAAGGGCTCCTCCTTGCTGCCATTGCCTGGCGACTGTGGCCAGACGTGTTGGACCGCACGGGCTGCGAGACCTTGCTGAGAGTGAAGATGCTATATGGCAAGGTATGGGTGAGAAACGACTCACGAGGTTCGCGAGGTTGGCGTCGTTTCGCTTTTTGAAGCAATGCTTGATGAGCTTCGGAGTCGGAACAGCTCACGTTATTTCGGACGCGAGCGGCTACAAGATCTAGGCAAGTACACTTCAGGCTTCGAGGATATTGCCCACGTCACGAAGACAGAACTTCAATTCCGACTCTTGCTGGGTGCCGCCGAAAGCAGGGTTGCAACTGCCTTTTCACACCCGTCTACAAGCGCCGCCGCAGAGGAAGCGCTTGAACGTAACTTCTCCGCAGTCTTGGAGCAAGTTCCTTGACACGAAGATGAAGAGATGAGGTGTGTGCATGGCTGCATACTCTGCGACAGCATCTGCTTGAAGTTGCAATGGTGGGAGTTGTAGGTGATTTGCTCTGGGCTGCATCAGCCGATAAACCCACCAGTTGATCACAGCAGCATCATTTTCCTGACAGCACGAAGATTCCGCAATTCCCATGGTCATTGGCACGAAAGGCGAGATGTCAGCTCCAGCTTGTGGGTCCTCCAAGGGGTTGAGAAGGGCAGCGTAATCGTCGTATTGAACATTGTGCTGGCAAATTCGGTTCGCGAATTGCGCATCAGCCGATCAGAGTTTGGTTTAAGGTTTAAGGTTTAGGCTTTAGGCTTCACGGTTTAGGGTTTAAGTTCTGGTGGCTGGTCGGCGTAGCCCGGTTTAGGGCCCAAAAGCCAAGCACACTTGTATTGAGGCCCTCAAAATCAACCGTTCTATGTCTCTCAACCGAAGGATAAGGAACAAACACCGAACCCCAGCCAGTTCATGTAAGAAGTGGCAGTGAGGTGATTTCTTCGTGGTTGACACCGGTTCGAAGGCCTCTTGTGCAAGAATGCAACAAGGAGCGTGCTTCAGGCTGATGTACTTGGCTGATACTCTGCCTATATTTTCATACACCCGCGTATACGTAAACTAGACTAACTAGACATGCATACAGCGCACGCCGGCACATGTGCAGAAGTTGTACACACACGGAGCCATGTGCGGATGTAGACCCACTTTATGTCAGCAATCATTTTTTATCTATATGTGAGTATGCACGTACGGTTTGCGATTGTTCACTCTATGCAAGATACTCGGCAGTCTTTTGCATCTGCGAAAAAGGTTCGTCAACTGTGCTAGTCCTACGATCTGTATTCATCCGGGCGGGTGTGTGGAGCATTTAGTTTATCGGAGGGGAGAAGCGGGGCAGGAGTGAGGAACGCCTTGTGTCCCTGAGCAACAAGCTCGGCCCGGCACAGCAAGATACAGCAGAGCCTCATTCAGTATTGCGGACATCAGCATAGCACAGTACATCGAACTTGCAGTTCCAATGCGACATCACTCCAACAGTGCCAGCATATCATTGCACAGCATCATCCAGCCGTTTTGCACAACATATGGGGGTTTCCGAAAAGAGGGGACCCTATTTTAGTACCCTAAATAGTAGGATCCTTACTATAAGGACCCCAAATTAAGGTACCCTAATTGTCGGAAAGTCCCATGTGGCAACAACTGCCATGCCAAGCTTTGCAAACGAAGCAGTCGCACAAAGCTTCGCATCCTAGAACATTTAACAGGTGGGTTTTAGGGTTTCGGGAGTTATGGGGTTTTGTGGTTTAGGGTTTAGGGCTTATGGGGTTTTGTCTATTGGGTTTAGGGTTTAGGGAGTTATGGTCTGCCTTATGTTTGCACTTGCAAGGTTGAAGGTGGCGGACTTGTCGGAATCCTGGGGTCTCCTTCTCCGACCATGCCAGGTTCGCTTCGACGAGAACTTGAATCTGAAGGAAGATTACGTCTTTTCGCTGAAGAATAGGCCGAAGAGGCATCAGTAGTTGACTAGGGTCTAATATTTCGGAGCTTTTGCCTCAAGCTCTTCGGGAATTCGGATTTCAAGCTAGTGGGGAATTACAGTTTGCAGTGCATGCACGCAAGCCAAACAATTTAGGACTGTCTCCACGTACTATACGCAAAGAGGGTGCGCTTTTTGCCATCGGGAGCAGATCGTGAGGCCACTACTGCAAGGCGTGGTATCAACACTAGTATTCCCATGGAGGACGGTGATGAAGGCAGAACGGCTGTATAGTTAAGCAACAATGCTGCGAAACAAAGGGCCCCTCAGGCAAGCCTTTCAAAACGTGGTTTGGCCAAGCCGCTTTCAGCAAAAGCATGCAAACATCCAACCCTCCACCGGCTAGCCTCGCCGAAACCTTAGTAGCGTTAGCGGTTTAGGATGTAGGGTGGCCCAGCACACGCAAAGCCTCGTAAAGCCTTTCCCACAACCCTCTCTATCGCATAGTAGCAGCCTTCAAGCAGAATTGGTATCCAAGTTTCAACAGGTGGCAACTAAACAGTAAGTCTAGGACATTTTCAGGTGGGTAGTTACCGTTATTGCCTTACAGAAGCCCTATATACCCTAAACTCCTCACCTGTAGTTTCCTTTAACTAAGCGCACTAAGGACTTCAGTTGCTCACACATCCGAGCTCATGGGGGCGCGTCGACCCCGGGGGGCTCTCGAGAGCGTGCGCAGCGTTTGGGATTTACGGGTACAGCTTAAGGTCGTAGGGCTTATGGCGTAGGATGCAGAGGTTGAGGACTAAAGGTTTGAGTCAGTGTCCAGTATTTAGAGGTTTAGGGTTCAGGATATATATGATTGTTATGTGGGTTGAGTTGGGCAAAGTTTGTGGTCTTTTTTATTGAAGCTTTCGATTGACTCGTGACTCGAGGTCATGCGCTGCAACCGCATGACCCTGACGGTCAAGCACTACTCGAACAGTGGCGGTGCATGCTCGAACCGGGACAAGAAGGGCAAGGAGGAGCGGGTGGCTTCTGCCGAATACCTGCTTTCGAAGGGAATGCTTCGATTCCTTTCCGCTGGATGCGAGGCTGTCAGTGTTGTATGCAGCTTAGCGTTTGCAGTGTCGACCAATGGCCCATGTTGGCCGTAGCAGGAGCAGCGCAACATCGGCATACTTATGGACAAATGGCCTTGCGCCCGGGTGCTGCTGCCGTGACGCCTCAAAAGACATGCAGAACAGGTTTGACTGCTCTGAGGCCGCGGGCCCTACGATTCAACCCCAAGCGCACCAACGAGGCCCATCGCTTGTGAATGCCAGGGCTGCTAGGAGCGTGTTGGTGTGGGAATTCAGCCAAAGGAACTCGTTTTGTGCTTGGGGTTTCTTGTGTCAAGTCTGTCATGGCTCCCGTAATAATTAGCGACCCTGCAGCACAAGGTCATCATGAGCTGGCCGGCAGATGATGATGCCGAAGGCAAGCACCATGAAAAGAGGCCCGCCTCTTACTTGCTGAATCCATCGCAGAAGAATTCACAGAGGGAATGAGGAGCCGTGGTTGAGGCATATTATCCAAATCCTGTTCGAAACATCGATGTACAGTGCATACTCTGTGGTGTATTCCTTGCTTGAGAACCTTCCCGACATCATACACGAGAAGCCATACAAGCCTTAAGGCTGAGATCCTAATGTGCACTCACCTACTGTTCCCCTTACTGTTTCTTACGACTTATATTCCTCAAGATCGCTTTTGGTGATATCGACACTGCGCATGAGACCCGGTTGCAGGAAGCCGAGCCAAAGGCCAGGCGCGGGCAAGCCGGGCAAGACCAAGGCCAGGGCTACAGGGTTTAGGGTTTAGTTTTTTTTTTTTTTGGTTTAGGGTTTAGGGTTTAATTTAGACCTCGAGGTGCAGGGACTGTAGCCAAAAAGGAGAACAACCACTTGGAGCAAAGTTAAATCGAGTAGATGGACAGATAATTAGATAGATGGAGAGGTAGGTAGATAGATAGATGAGGAGATAGGTAGACGAATGCATGCATGCATTTAACCGCTTGTAATGCCGTAAGTGAGTCATCAAGCACGCAAGCAAGCACGCAGGCAGGCAAGCAAGCAAGCAAGCAAGCATGAATGCATACCTGCAAGATCATGCAAGCAAGCATGCAATCACGCAAATCATGAATGCATGCATTTACGTATGTATGCCTGTGCGTTTCTTTGTCAATGTATGTTCGAATGTATGTATGCATGCATGTCAACATGCATGTATGTACGTACAAATGTATGTACGTAGGTATGTAGGTAGGTATGTATGCAAGCATGCCATGCATGCATGTACGCATGTCTGTCTGTCTGTATGCATGTATGTATGTATGAAGGTAATGTAATGTAATGTAATGCCAGGTAAGGTAATGTAATGTAATGTAATGTATGCATGCATGTATGCATGTACGCATGCATGCATGTATGTATGTATGTATGTATGGATGTATGTATGTATGTACGTAGGTAGGTAGGTAGGTAGGTAGGTAGGTAGGTGGGTAGGTAGGTAGGTAGGTAGGTAGGTATCTATGTATGTATGTATGTATGTATGTCTGTATGTATGTATGTATCTATGTATCTATGTATCTATGTATCTATGTATCTATGTATCTATGTATCTATGTGTCTGTGCATGTGCGTGTGTAGGTAGATCGGCCCTGCCATACCATGCACACACGTGCACGCATACATGCAGTTCCAGTTGTTCAGGCCGTGGCGAAGAAGACGAAGGTGACACGGCCGAAGGCACGACGGGGACTTTTGACTCCCCTTTACGCAGGTCCGATTGGCAGACTCAGCAAGTCACATTGCAGCCATTCTAAATCGCGATACATACTCCGAAGGGTTTTTCGAAGATACAACGATAGCAGCAGTAGCAACAGCAACTTCAAGAACGACGACAACGCTTGCAGGAGCGTTTCCTCAGCCTCGGCCCACAAAAACGATCGGACCTTGCACCATCAGCCATTTGCAATGTAGACAGTGGAACTAACAGGTGCATAGCCGTCCTTTCATTGAACATGAAGCTGCCTAATGTAAAGCATAAGCCCGAAGCCGTCGCAAGCTACAAATACTGACTCCTAAATCCTAAATCCTGAAGATCCTGAACGGTCTGCCGCTTGAAGACCCCCTCCGTGCCTTCTAAAAAAAGTAACCCTTTGTAGAGCCATGCCTTAATTGAAAACCCAGAGCCATGGAAGTGTGAGAGGCGCATCATCCCAGCAATGCCATCATCCTGCAGACAGAAAAGAGCAAGGAGGAGCTCCTTGCGCGGGGGGTGTGCAGATTTCAAACTATGCACAGGCTTTGAAATACAGGAATTTCCGAAAATAAGGGGTACCTTATTTGGGGTCCTTCTAATAAGGATCCCATTATTTAGGGTACTATGTTAGGGTCCCCTATTTTCGGAAACCCCTATACAGGCTGTGAGGCTGTTCGGGGTTTTCTTGGGGGTCTGAATGGCTGCCTTGCAAGGCGAACAACGCACGAATTAAGCCCTATGTCGCCAGACGCTGTGGGCGAGCACCGTGGCCGCAACATCGCAACACTTGTGCATATGTCGGGCGAACTGCAGGACGGAGTACGACGAGAGACACAGGTTCAGTTTGGCTTTTAGGATCAATAAAACTAACCCTGCCTAACCCCTAAACCCCTAAACCCCTAAACCCTAAACCCTAAACCCCTAAACCTTAAACCTTACTAAACCTGGCCCATGAAGGCCACGAGGCCAGGAACACTTCTGCGTGATCAGGTCAGCGGCAAGCGGGTCAGCGAGGTGAAGCAGCCCGACCTAGCACAGGGCAGAGGGTACTGAGACGTAAGGCAATAACTCAATAACAGAGTATAATATCATAATGGTAAGAATAACAGAATATAGTATCATGTAGTATACGGTCAGTATACGGTTATACGCACTGTATAACCAGTACTGTAGTATGATGTAACATACCCACAACATGGCCGTGTCATCATCGAGACTGCACCTGGCATATTGGCCACGTTTAGCTTGAGGTGCATGTCTGGAGCAGTTCGCTTCTGGCAGGTCCTCGGCCGACTGAAGTACACCACAGCAGAAGGAGAGACTCGAACGTGACCCCTCTTTTTCCTACTTGGAGGTTCATGGGTAGCTGTTAAGTGGAGGTAGAAGTCCCATAATATAGGTTATAACTATGGTTACCCTGCTTATAACCCTACTTGTAGCTACCCATGAACCTCCAAGTATCCACTTCATGCTAGGAAGTGCGGCTCTTTCGCCCGGTCGAGAAGAAATCTGATGATCACCAGTCGAAGCAGCCCTCTGCCTACCCATAGGGCTCCATAGTACTTCCTTTTTGTGCTGTATATTTAGGATCCTGTAAGGTAATCCTAAAAAGGAACTACTATGGAGCCTGTGGGTATACCCTAAACGAGAGACCCCCCAGAACCCACAGCTTCCACGTCCCAACTGCAGGTACGTGACTAGCGACCTGAGCTACGATCTTCAGCGGGGCTTTCTGAAGCTTAAGGCCTGGAGAAACCTTTTTTCAATTATGTGTGGTCCGGACTTCTTAGGCTAAGCGTTTAGGGTTTTAGGAAACGGCAGCATGTCTCATGCAGTTCTCAATACTTTCCTGCCCTGCGCAGGCTTCGAAATCTGGTTGAGACGCGGTCTTCCATGGTCGACATGATCGGGAAGAGTTGACCTTTGCAATAGTATGGTGCTCGAGCATGTTCCATATACCATACAGCGACAACCCTGACCTATGCACGCGACTTCGCAGCGATCGGTTTTAGTTTTGGGGGAGTCCATGCCAGACCTCTGATTGCACGCGCCCAAAATGCGCTAAGATGATGTCCGAGCAGCAACGAAAGGCTTCTAATGTCAGGCCAAGCTTCTCAAAGCACCAAGCCCTAATCCTGTGAATGTGTGTGTGTGTGTTACAGTTGCGCCTGCGCAGTGCAATCGATGGCATGGCATGGCATGGCATGGCATGGCATGGCATGGCATGGCATGGCGGCATGAGCCACAGCAATAATCCCGCTGCTCCAGCGGGCCTCGGATTACTTAGAGCCCTTTTATCCCACCCTGGGATTCGGACATCAACCCGACGAAGTGTGCCTTCAACGTTAAAAGAGCGTGTCCAGTTCTCCAGCCGCAGATGCCTCGTTTATGGACTTGCTCAAGCGGACTCAGCCGGTTGCTGCTAATTCACAACTGGCAACAAATTATTACAATAAGGGCGAGGTGGACGGATTATTAGCGGGAGTAAGCGGTGGTGGTGGCGGTGTTAGTAATCCTATCGAGTTGGTGGATGCTAATACAAGTATTGAAAGATACACAAACGCTACAAAATCAAATGTATCATTAGATTTATCAATAAACGAATAAACGAAACGGCAAGTGCTATAAGATTAACTAACGGAACTAACGACGATACTGATACAA